CCATTTGCCTCCTGAAAACCCATAGAGACGCGGTTCTTTGCGAGAACTAGAATAAACTTAGAAGACTCTTGACAACTCTCCACTTTTTCGCAGAAACTTCTCCATGAGGTTCTGTTTGATTTTCTTAACTCAGTCTTGTATATTGCAAGTCCGATTTTATACAACGCCAGTCGTCAGTTGTTCCATCCTACGAGCCTTGTTGAACAAATGCCTGCAGGACGCTCTGATTTCCGAGAGTTCTATAGTCCACCAGAGATTCTTGAATCTGTCCTTCGGTATTTTCAGTGAAGAGGAGCACTCCAGTGCAGTTTTACACGCCGAGCTGAAAACTTCGACCCTCCCATCCACTGTGTCGGTGGTGAATAATGAGTCTAAGAGACATTCTGCTATCATAAATGTTATTAATGTTCAAGCTGCCCCCGATTGAAGATATAAGAACCAGAAATCTCTGGCGTCGCAGACCAGCGTTGCTGAAATTGTGTAAAATAAATAGCGTTTATTCATTTCGGATCATCATACCAGATCTGGTCTAACCAACGTCGTTCGTTATGACTATTCGTCCTCAATCAGCCATGGTTCTTGGATCAAGAAGAAACCCTAAATTGGGGAAGGCCGCCTTCACCTTTGCATCTTGGTTACACCCGAACTTAGCATTTCCTTACTTTCTTACTTTCTTTATAATGCTATATAACCCTATATAAAAAAAAGCTCGGCTCAATGGCGTTACTTTTTATAAATATGTACATTTACTTGAAGTGTAACCCACAGAAACAGCTAATTAAGTCAACGACATCGGCTATATATTCTCGTGTTTTGTCCCTTACTATATAAAGTCTTATAATTTTTTTTATTGAGACTGTAAATACAGACATTTTTGTTCTTAACAGCTGTTGATCATTGTGTATTATACAATAATAATAATCATGTAAATGTTTCCACGCTTAAGGAAAATATAACTTTTTTTTTATGGTGGAAATATAACTATCATAATTGAAAGTAAACTACAAGTTACAGTAATATTGTTAACAAATACTTTTCGCATTAAGTAATACAACAAACAACACTTATGGATGAGTATAAACTTCAATTGTTTTAGTACATAGGTATATGGGTGCACATTTAACTAACTAATATTATGAAGTCTCGTCAAAAATTATCAGAGTGCGCTGGATTTGGGAAAACACTGCGGCATCACAAATATAGAATTTTTTTTATTATTTATTTTTGAGGAACTACAAGGCTTCACACTGAAGAAATTTATCTTGTGTATGAATACTTATATTCTTACATATTTACACATATGGAATATTTGTTTATATTGAAAGATGTCTGTATACGCAAGTTTGATATAAAATGTTTCGCATACGCCATGCGCACCCCATTCCCCTGCACTTACAAATGAGGAGGCAAACTATGGCAAAACTAATACACTTTATGTACTTTGACCTCGAACTTGAATTGAAGTGGAATATTAAATTAAATAATGAGTGCGAATGTGATTCCTCTTCCTGTTACTTATCAATAAAAACATAAATAAATGCCTAGTAGGGTGGTTGCAAATTTTTATAATGAATTTTAAAAGCATAATTTCCAATTTAAATTAATTTCACTTTTAAGATTTAAATATAATTTAAATTTAAAAGGTTTCAAGATTTAAGTTGTAATAAAAAAAATTTAATTTTTTTAAATAAAAATATATTTTTTTTATATCAGATAACAAGGGGGAACCTTGAAAAAAGACGATCTTCAAAAAAAATATATGAAGAATCAATGCTTTAAAATTGTATAGATATATTTATTAGAGTAGGTCAGTTTTTGTAATATGAAATCGCGTATTATTTTATTTTTTACTATATTAGTTGGAAAGAGCGAACCTTGTGTCTAGTTTTGGATATTCAAAAAAACAATCTACGGAAATTTTCTATGGATCATACTGAATAATTTTGGCCTAAGAGACTATACGACTAAAAAAACTTTCGATCCAGTGCTTTTTGAGACTAAATTTAAGAAAATCTGAATTACAGTTGTTCGATATTGCCAATTCCGACCAATGGCCACCTATTAAATATCAATCCTTCACCTTAAAAGTCGCTGGCTCAAAACCGGTTTTAGACCCACATAACTCACTTAAATAAAGTTGCGTAGAATGAACCGTAGAATATTCCGGCATACGCGATTTATTTGCTTATGTGGCTCTCTACAAATCGACCCGATTTACTATTTATAGATATTTTCCGAATTTACGGAAGAAATTTGGAGAAAAAAAATTAAATATTTTTCGAGTTACAATTTATTTTATTGAAATTTTGGTCTTTCTAGGTATGCAAAAATTATTATTTTATTGAATCAAAGCCTACCTGCATATATGATGCATAATTCTCCATTTAACTACCTACTTACAATTCCATCATATATGCAGAACATGCAGATACAAGTCGTAATTGAATTATATTTGTCTGAATAAAAATATTAGATAACCTGTTTGAGTTTATTGAATTGAACGGCTACACTTTAGCAGCCTGCAACAAAAAAATACTTGAAATATTCATTTAAAATATTACTATGGCATTTTTAAAACAAAAAAAAAAAAATTCTTCAAAATTTCTTACTAGCTGCGCTCTTTAGTAGTTATTAAAAAATAATAATAAAATATTTAACTCTTTAATC